TTGATGATAGGTGGTATATATGCCCACAAGGTCCAAAGGCAACAGGCAAGGCTAGGATATTGATTCTGCAACATGATGTTGACAAATAATTTTGAATCCATGCAATGGGGTTTCAGTTTCTCACAACTCTAGAATAGTAACTGAAGTTTATCACACTAAATCAATCTATGCTGATTTGCATAAAAAACAGAAACACCAGATAAACGGTTAGCAATCTTCACATGACCCTTTAGTTCCATGATGCCCTATTTCCATTTAAATCTCAACATACAAATATATGAATCTTCTGAGTTTGCACATTAAGTATTTACTCGATAAAAGGCTATAAATTAGGATCCTTATCATGAAAACATAAGCTTGGAACTAGAACTAATCATTCTTACATAAAATTGCCAATCAAGCTCATTTTCATTACCATTAATTGATGATGAAACACTGAACCTTATATTCTCAATATTGGTAAAGAACTGCATAAGGGGTGGGGCTGATTGGCACCATGTCGTCCTTGTTTTGTGTTTAGACAGTGCACAGAGATCAGTGGCAGACAGATCATATTTATTGGTTACTAGAGTAACATGGAAAACCTCCTAATTATAATTATAATATTCTAAGGAAAAAGTGTTTTGCAGATCGTCCTCCTAAATTTTTTTTTTGGAGGATATATATCAGAGTCGCGCTGATATCGTGCGTCCATAGCGCGAATGAATAAGGGGTGATTGCTTTTAATGGTCCGTTAGGTATAATGATTAAAGTATTAAGGGTTGGTTTGGTTGGTGTACGTATTAGTCATAATTGTAGGAATGCTAGCTGACTCTAATTTTTTTGAGTGGGATATATATGATCTTGTGGTATCAAGTTCATCATTATAAAAGTTGAACTCTTCAACTAATCATGGTAAGAACTGACCTCTTCATCAATTCATCCTAATAAGAGTTGAGCTCTTTCATTTGAGGTCTGAAGATCAGACGTCATTAATTTAGGTTTGAGGTCAAAGAAAATTAAAGCGAACATTGAGCTAATTTGGGCAATTATAATAGCCCCTAAATTCATTGTATGGAAAATACGTACGCTGGAGTTTATAATTTGAAAAATGTGTTTAAGTTTGAGGAATGCTTATAGAGTACTTGATTGAATTATTAATAAAAGTATGCTTCTTCACTCATATAATTAAGATTCGAGCTCTCATTCTCCCTTCACCTCCTCATCTCTCTCACCCACAAGATTTCAATCAATTATTTTGTCACATAAAAAAAAATAGTGTATTTAATTTAAATAAAAATAGAATTCATTCATTTAGAAGTTCATTTATAAATGAATTTTAATGTTTGGAATGATTCATAAAATTATAGATTTCAATTAAATTCCATGAGATTTTATTTATAGATTAAATAAAAAAAACTAAGTTAAATATTAAGGTTGTAAATAAAGGTATGTTAAACTAAAGTGTATTGAGCAATAAAAATAAATAAATAATTCTTAAACCATCCTAAACTAATACCATGATTTAAAAATAATTTAGAATCAAATTTCATACTTCTTAATCAAATCAAACATAAAAGTTGTAAAATTGCAAATGAATTCTACAAATTTTTATTCAAACCAAACATAAGGTTGTGGATTTACAAACGAATTCTGCATTTCTTTTTGTGATTTTCATTCAAACTAAGTAAAAGTAAAGTAATAAGAGAGAAAATTTCCCCAGAAATTTCCTCAGTGCCTTCCATGTGCTTGCCCAAAAGTTGCTCTGCGTCTGCGGGTCGATTACAGGTGATTTCTACTGCTGGTCGACTGGTAATTTATATTGAGGCACATAATTGGTAAAAGATCAAAGGCCATCCAAACAAAAACAAGGTTCTATGTTTATTGATCCTTTTATTTTTATTTCTTATTTTAGTTTTTTTATTATTTTAGAATTGAAAATATTATTCTTTTAAATTTGGCAACCCCATAATATTAAAGGTGTGTTTGTGGAATGATTGTTAATAATTGTTGTAATCTAAAGTCGAGTCAAGTTGAACTCTATGATAAAAAACCCTATGAGAAAAAACTCTTTCAGTATTTATTTTTTTATTTATAAAATTCAAACTCAAAAATTTATTTAAAGAGAATCGAACTCTTTTTAGTGGAACCAATGAATTCATTAATAATAATTGTTTGTTTATGTTAAATGTATTTGATAGTAATTACTTGGTTGTAGCATTTTGTTGGGCCCATCCGGTTAGGATTGTTGCTTTAGGAAGAACCAATCAAAGAATCTCTTTATGGAGCATATTCTTTTTCGTCCGGTGTTTCGTGGGATAAGTGGTACGCAGAAATAATAAGGAATGCTTTTCTTCTCTTCGGCTATTCTATATCTAAAGCTGGCTGTATTTTTGGTTCTCGCAAGATACAGTATTGGTGAGATGGGCTAATCTTTCTTAGAAGGGTAGATTGAAAGGTGTTCAATATAGATTAGGAGCAGTTTGGCCATGGGTACCACTTGATAGATATAGGAACTCCCGGAAAGGCTGCCTCGTGTGAATATTCACCACCTTTCGTTCTAGTTATATCTAATGTTAAATATCTACTCTTTCTTATTTTATCTCCATCCATGCTTAATTATGTGTACTTGTGGATGTAAGTTCTTAATTTATGAGATTAGGCATTCCTTAATATTGTAGTCTGTAGATACGGCTGGCTTTTCATTAATAACATGATAATTACAATTATAGTCAATCATGGGATGGGAAATAGGGGAGTGGAGAGGGCTTTGTCACCCC